CTAGTTTTATTTCATAACTTTCTAGTAAAATTTAATGTCTTGCACTTGGGCTTAATACACAACACTCCTGAATTTTGATGTGTAGTATCTTTTTTGTAGAACTAATACTCTCTATTTAAGTTTATGAATCAGCTCCCTCCTCTTGGGGGTAGAATGGAAGTGGTGAAAGAGTTTCAAAACAGCTGTAATGTATCAGCTGATATACCAAATTCCAAACAGTGCATGAACAAATGCTCTCTGCATTCCAACCCACCTCCATAACCTCCCAATACTTTACTTGTTATCAAGAACCTTTCTTTCTGCCTTTATTTTCTTTGGAACAAAAGTGAAACTTTCTAATTCTGGCAGGTGAACCACTGAACAAAAGAGAGTATATTGGGTAGTACTTCCTGTAGTTTTACTCCACTTAAAGTTCTAAATGTCCAATAACTGGATATATAGGAGATTGCAATTAGGACCAGCAAAAAAGCTGACTTCACTCCGTGACAAAAATGCAAAGATGTTTAGAATCACTCCAGGAGTTTATTTCTTAACTGACAAACTTGAACAGAGTCCATTCCCAGGTGGCTCAAAGAGCTGACTGATAAATAATTTACCTAGAAGAAGGTCTTTCACCTTACTTAAAAGAAGAGCAATACTGGATTGCAGGGCACCAGAGTTTTTTGTTTCTTTCTTTCTTCAGTGGATTGACATCCTCTAAACTGTACCTGAATTCACTCTGGAAGGAATTTTAAGGAGCAAGATTGGGAAATAACCTTCTCTGCCAGGAGGAGGCAAGAACAGCCTGCAGTCTCATAACAGATTAGTGCAGAGATATCAATAAGAGTAATCCAGTCAACATCTTAAAAACACAGAAGCAGCCACCAGTAACAAACCAATCTCAGTATTACATGTATTTCAAATCCCCTTGCTAGATTAAGGCAATGTTGGCAAAAGGAATTCAGCAAGCAACATTCTCTTCAAACATGAACAATTCACAAGACACAAACTTCTTTTCACTTCCTCTAATATCGATGCTCATTGCTCTCAGCCCACTTTTTGCACCACAGAACCCTTTGGCAAACTGTCCTCTGGGTGCCTTTCAATGGCAAAATGTATGAGCTTTGGATCGCCACGAGATAAAGGTTCTTACAGGTCTTATTCTTCAGGGTGAAATTCCCCTGGCTGATATTCTTACAGTGATCTCAGATAGCCTTAAGTTACAGCCACCTGGTTTTGCTGAAAAGTGGAAATTCTGCTCATCTTCCCCAGAAGATCCAATTAATAGTTGCACAGAACTGCTTTGCATGTATAAGAGATAATGTCAAGAACATCAGTAAAGAGACTAGGCTGGAGTTTTGAAACATTATTCAGGGTTTTTTTTGTTTCCTAAGGAACTGTTAATGGGACAAGCCTAAAAAAGCATCATCTTCCAAACTAGCACTAAAGATGCTTCTGTTACAACAATTTTTCATACCACCTCAACACTCCTGAAAGTTTTCTTTTTTGCTGAATAAAAAGGACAGACTTGTTTTGATGGAAGTTATCCAATTTATTGCTTTCTCTTATAGTCTTGTAGGGTATGTACCTCAAATTATCAGTAACTGTTAATGTTGACCTCTGAGGATATTTTCAAGCCTTTCAAGACATAGTATATCTCTAAATAGCATGGGGAATATTTTTTGTTTGTTTGTTTCAGGGTTGAGTATTAAAGAAAAAAAATAAATTGAATTAAAAATTAACTCAGTTAAATTTAGCTTGAAAGCAAAGCCTTTTAGGATCTTTGTAGGGTTTCAATATTTTAATATCTTTTCATATACAGTTTGGTGCACGTATTACAACAGCTCAAAATATTTAATACTATTTTTGAAGAGTTCAGTTCTGTATAAAACACTCTTAACTGTTCTTGTATGTTAGTGTATATTTTTTCAATTTACTTTACAAGGTAGCATTCCCTTTTCCCCACTCTACACACCAAAACTACACTTTGACCAAAGGTGGTTTGAGGTATGAGGAAGTTTCGTTGGAGGAAATAATCTCCAGAGAAAAGTCAGAAAATATAATTGTAAAGAACAGGGAAAGAGGGTTTTAACCTTAAACTAAATTTATTGGGAAGTGGGGCAGAGAAGGGAGAGGCCCACAGTGGGGAGCTGTCCAGTGAATTCCAGGCTGCTTCCTATGCATCATTAACAGGTTTTGGTTTCTTATTAAAAGGTCTGGGGGTTGTCTTTAGTTTATATCTGCAACCCAGAGAGATTATATTCACTACTACCTGCCAAAAATCTTGTGTAGCAGAAGCCACTATTTATTAACAAACATAAAGGAAAGCAGCGATGTGCAGAGCAGTTCTGCCACAGAAAACACTGGTTAAATGATGCAGGAAATTAAAGGAGGAAGGTAAGGAATAGATCCTGCAATGAATCCTGACAGATCTCTTTGGGGAGAAGTCAGTGTGCTTCCCATCTCGTTGATGCTTCAAGTGCTGCAGTGACTCTCTTGGTATCTATCCCACTGTCCTGTCAGAGTTAGGATGTGTCCTCACAGTCTGGTCAGCAAGTAGTGGACAACCAAAACAATCCCTGAGCAAATGTCTAGGCCAGAAATAAACCCTATAGTGCTACCACTACTTACTTTCAATACAGAATCATAAAGAAATAGATGTCTGCTTTTCCTTTTCTGGTATTGAAACACTTCTTGGAGAAAGCTCCGGTTGTGCACTTCAGGTTATGAGTAAAAGGTAACTTGTATAGATTTTTCTCCTACAAATCTTAACAGGTTTATGCATTTTTTGAAAGGGGTGTTGACAGAATCCTCAAATGGATTACAATGCCGGAGACCAAAAAGCGAACTGTGATCTTCTATAGAAGAACTGAAAGCCTAAATTCAAAGACGCTTCCAGCCTTAATGCAAGAGAGGTAATTTTCACTTGTCAAGGAGTATTTCCTTTTTTGAAGCCCTGTTTGGTTTATTTTGATAGACTGCAGAGCAGAATACAGAGGTTGATGTTCCAATACATTCCAATGAACCAAATAATTTGCTAGATCTAGTCAATAAATATCTATCTGAAGTGTTTGAAATCCTGCCCCATAATTAGCTCTTTTATGATCAAATAGCTGGCTTGTCCAACTCCATATGCAAGACAAAACACTTCTGGAAGACAGCTGTTAAAATCAAATGTTCTTTAAAGGAACTGAGAGAAATTCATACTTTTAGAATGAAGTCCCAGTCTCAGAAACATCAACACTCTTCAAGAGCCTTCCTAAACAACAGCTACAACTTTATATTTGCGATACATTTATCAGATATGTGCAGTAAAACAAAAACATCTCCAAGTCACCTCCCAAAAAAAGAAAAAAACACTAGAAAACTGGACTCCTGTAACAGCCTTTAAGGAAACACTTTATGAAGTACATGTGTATAGATTGTATATATAGAGCTCTGGATTAAGGTTAAAAATTGAGGCAACTTGTTCCTAATGGAGCAATGTCAAGGCTATAGTTTTCATTACCTTTTTTTAAATAAGAAACTAGACAAATAAGAAGAAATCAAATATTTGAAGAGAGATCAGGACTGCATAGAGGAAAAAAAGTGAAATACTACCACATTTGGAGAGACATCTGTACTTTCCTTCCAGAACTCCTGAGGATTCTTAATTGATAAGTTTCCATACCACAGTTCAAAGCTCACATGCTAAATCAACAGTTACAGATTTTAGGACTAAAAGTCATAAATGCTGGCTTAGACATATGTCTCTTTGAGTTATCTTCTCTGGGATTTTGATATTCAGATTTGAATGTTACCACCACCATCCTCAATGCCTCTGATCAGCATAGAGCTAATTATATGCTGCTATTAAAGGAGATTATATTAGACACTGACAGTTGGAAAGGCCTAATGACCAGATGGATACAAAAATAAGAAATCAAGCCATGTTGTTTTGTAATAAATTTGCCAGAATTTTTATAGGCATATTTTATCAGCAGCTTCATTATTTTATTCTACCATCAAAAAACCCCACAGACCAACAAACAAACAAAAAAAATCCTCAAGTCCAAACCCCCAAAGCAACACAACTGGAAAGGAGTCAAGATTGAGGATGCAACTAAATTTAAACTGTCAGCATAGTCCATCATTAATCGGGCAGGTCAGTACAGTTCATAAGTTGAAAATTCTTCTGAAGATCCAATATGAGTCTGTAAACCACACATTCAGTGTTACCTTAGAAGAATGGAACCAAACAAATATGCATTTTTGTCAGAATAAAATAAATTATTAGTGCAAAGAACATATTAGACAACAGCATGTTTCCAAAAGATAACTGGTCAGCTTCTTTCTATCCAAGAGCTTCCTAATTTCTTAGTCCTCATATTTCACATTGTTTCTCTGTCCAGTTAGTGGCCCTTCCTGTGTTTGCATATCAGAGATGAAAATCACCACAAATTGTGTAAACTCAACTTTTAGATCCTGTTTTAGAACTCTGCAACTTGACACTGCAGTCAAGCCACTAATATATATAGGAACAGAAAATCTGTCCAAAGAAACCCTCCACCTCACTACAGCTCAACTTTTTTCACATGAAGAAAGAAAAAAGACTCCCCCTCCCTCGTCCTGTTCTCACCATCCACTACCCATAATCTCTAGTACTTTGTATTATACTCACAATAAGCTGTTTTACAGATTGATTAATAATCGAAACAGAGCTGAGGCATTTAATCAATCTGAACAACAGATTATTGCTTCATGTACTACAAAGAAAGACAGATTATCCTTTTATTATTGATTAGACTTGCTACACTCCTGCCAGTTCTATTGCCTTTATTTCTAAATATTTTTGCTCAGCAAGTTTTCAACTTGCACCAATCTTAAAGACAAAAAACATTTCTTGGAGTTTTATACATATTGATCATCTTTCTACTGTAATCCCCCCCCACTTTTCTTGGATGATATAGTAGTTGTACCATCCATTAGCCTATTTACAGTGCCTTCTTCCCTCACAGCAAATACACTGAGAATACTTGTACCTTTCACAGTCTCTTTCATCTTCCCTTTGTTCAGCTACAATCGACTCAGTCTTCACTCAACACCTCCAGAGAACTGGTTGCAAGCACACAGATTACATCATTTCCCAAAGAGGTGTCTTGGCACTGGCCTGCACAGATGGGAGAAGAAGGAGTAGACTGTACTTCAAAAAGTGGATAAAGTAGGGCAGTAAGAATAATCGAACTGAGAACTAGCTTGAGCTGAACAGATATAGATACACAAAGTGACCAACACAAACCAGTCGAAGTGTAGAAATATCAGCAGATATAAACTGGAATGTCACATGCAAAACACAAGGCAATCCTTTCACCCACCTTCCCCAATAATGTCACTGTCAGCATATGTGTAAGATCACAGAAACACTGAAAGGTTTTGTTGGAAAGGACCTTAAAGTTCATCTCATTCCAAACTCCTGCCATGGGCAGGGACACCTTGCACCAGACCACAGTGCTCAATCCATCCAACTTGGCCTTGAACACTTCCAGGGTTTCCACAACTTCTCTGGGCAACTTGTGCCAATGCCTCACCACCCTCACAGGGAAGAATGTCTTCCTGACATGTATTCTTAACCTGCTCTCCCTTCAGATTAAGGCCATTTTTCCTCATCCTATCACACCATCCCCTTCTGAAAAGACCCTCTCCAGCCTTCTTGCAAAACCCCTTTAGGTACTGAAAGGCTGCTATAAGGTTGTCACAAGTACAACAACAAAATTAAGAGAAAATACATTCTGGGGGGAAGGGGGGGGGGGAGGGGGAATCTACAGTCTTTAGATTGAAAATACATGTTAAAAAACTTCAAAATGTAAGAAAATCTCCCAGAAAGGTAAAAGGAGAAAGAAGAGAACATCACTTCCATATCCACAGAATATGACCGCAGAATTGGTGACTTTTCAGTGCTGCCAGGGAAATGAATCAGCAGTAGGCAACTCTTCACTGTAAGTCAGTGAAGAACTGCATCATGTCACTTAATGCAATTCTGGAAACTCTTTCACTAGAGATTTTTAAGCAGAGATGAAGATTTAAGAGAGAGTTCAATGGATAAGATAACGTCTTCCTTTAGCCCTGTTTTTTCTATATCGAAAATGCTTTCATACAAAATATTTACAGGCTTTGCTAGTAATAGAATTTGCTTATTCTCCAATTTATCAGAATGGATTAAGTCAATTTTATATGAAATCCTTGTGTTAAGAATTTGCTTTTAAACCTTTACTTGGAGTATAGAAGCAGAAAACTGTTATTCTCTGCTCAAAATATCTGAGTGCTTTGCCAAGATACTGATACAAAATTGAGACAACAGTGCAATTTTTCATTGTTGTTACTTGAGACCTTTTGCTGTGTTAACATCAGCACACAGACATTGTAATCTCTAAAACTGGAACATCTAGTTTCCTGAGTTCCCGCTTGCCACTATAAAAACATCATTCATAACCCTTTGGAGAGTTTAAGATACACACTGGTTTTAATCTTATTTCCATTGTGTCCATTTGCTTTCAGAGACCTTTGTTCTCTGTGAGTGATCTCTGGATCCAATCCTCCTGAGATGCAGGTTAAGCCCAAGCAACACCCAGCTCTATTTATGTGTCTGACTGCACCTTATTAATTGCAGGTCGAATATGTAACTAATTTAAGAGACCACAATATTTATTAAGGAACCCACTATTAAAAATCTAATATATCTATTAAATAGTAAGGGAGCTAATAAATACAGCTGGTATTAACGTAGACTTCTGTCATTTTGTGCCCTATTGCACACAATTATAAAGCCATTATGTATCACTCTTACATGCTACAAATCACAGAATCAACAAGGTTGGAAGAGACCTCCAAGATTATCCAGTCCAGCCATCCACCAGCACCACCATCATCACCCCTAAACTGTAACCCCAAGTGCCACATCCAGACACATCTTGAATCCCTCCAGAGACAGGGACTCCACCACCTCCCCAACCTTTTCCACTGCCTGTCCACTCTTTCAGTGGCAACAGACACCTCGATATAACCTCTTTCAGGGAGATGGAGAGACACTCAACTATCATGGAATTAAATCCTATCACTCCTTAGGTGTTGTTCACAGCTGGGAATCCTTGAGTATGCTTCCCTCAAGTCTTTGCAACAGAGAACTGAGAAGTGTCAGTGATAAAACAGCAAATCAGAATAAGGTATCTGTTTAAGTTCCTTAAACTTGAGACTCAGGCCAAGTCTCAGTCCTTCCCTAGACTGAGATGAAGCCTCTGCATTCTCCCCCACTGAACCGTGGTGAGAGCAGTGCTGCTCAACACCTTAGAGCACAGTCTGCTGCTCTGCAGCAAAAGAGCAGAGGGCTCCTTTTCCAGACAGGAGCATTGAGGTGTCAGGCAGTGCTGCTGCTCACAGGGAAGGCTCAGGGTGCTGCAAGAGCAGCCATTGCTGCTGGAATAAAAGGAGTCTTCTGAAAGCAGGAGCCAGCACTCAGTCTGTGCAGAGCAGCAACATGGAAATTTCACACTCAGCAGCTTTTTCTTCTTCCCTTGTAGTTCTCTACCCCCCTTTACCACTTCTCACCCTTTTCACTCTCACAGCAGGGTTTTGGGGCACCTTCTGCAACAACCAAACTCTGCCTGTACTACTGAAAAACCTTACAGCTAATGTCACACCAAACCACTTTTGAGAGGAATAGCATCTTCTGACAAGACAGAAGCGGAAGAATGTTCTTTGCCAAGAACATTATAGTTAAAGGATTATGTATTAAATTGGTCAAAAATCCTAAAATTGCTTCAAACCATTCAAACAGAGAAAAATATTCCCACCCAGCACATTTTTTTATTTATTTCATAATTCTGCCAAAGCACACCCTGAGGAATTTTTCTCTTCTCTGCATTCTGGTTCAAACCTATGATGCAGTGAGGCCAGGCTCTCCTTGTAGACAGTCTTTTCTCTTAGAAGAGAAAATTATTCATCTTATTTTACTGTTTGTTCAACCACTAGTTAGTTTCAATTTTTTTTTTTAATTTAAAAGGCATCTTCAATATCTGACCACTGCCATTCATTAGATATCAATCTGTCCACTGTTTATTTTTTGATCAGCAGGTGGATTAATGTTAAAATGGACTAAACCAGTCCATTTTGTTCTCAATGCCTTTGTTACATTCCAAGAAAATAAGGACATAGGGGCAGGGCTCTGGTGTTATAGATGTTCCAGGAAAACCACTGGATAATAAGATGCCAGAAACTATGTGGTTTCTGCTTTCTTCTACTGGGGAAGAAAGTCAGAAAATGTTGCTGAGAACCTGTAGTTTGAAAAGGGACCATACCTTCCCCTTTATGAGAAAGCAGGGACAGGGAAAAACTTCCCCATGACTACACCAGGCTATGTGGACTTTGACAGTATTCCTAAAACAAACACAAGGACCTGTCCTGAAAGGATGTAGAAGAAGCAGGAGAAGACAAAGAGAGGGAGATTTGTTGTGCTATATCTCACCTATACATGCTATTTAAAGAGTTCAGTAATTCAAATCTTACTCTAATAAATCTGATTTTTTCATTTTAAAAATCTTTCAAAAAACTTCCTGCACAGAAAGAACAGAACAGACTAATCTCAAAGTTCTGACCACACCAGATTCTGACTATGGGGGCATTAGAAGGATTAAATGGTGACAACAGCACTATCTTTATGCTTCTAATCTAAACTTAAAAGTATAGATTGGATTTATTTCAGCTTTCTATCTAACTATGGAGAAATTGATAAAGTGTTCACAGTAAAGGACGGTATTTTGAATACTGGCCCTCTAGATTCATTGCAATGACTCCTACTCAGTTGTCATTTGTCACTAAGCCAATTGAACAGCCCAATTTATCAATGACTTCTGTTATATCTATTTGGTTTCTGTCCTCCAAGGTAGAAAGGTTTGACTTGCACATTTTCCTCCCCTTCCCTCTAAATATTGTAACAAATGCAGTTTTAATAATACTTACACTTAATTCACTGGACTAAGCTATGCAAAATACTAGTTTACTCATGGTTCTCATAGCAATTTAAGTAGTGAAATGGAATTTTTTATATGTATATTAAGAAACAAGGTCATAAGAGAAATTTTCTACATGTACTTTTTCTACACAATAAATAACCCTTTTCCAGCCAGATCTTTACACCAATAATGCTGTTAATTCTGGATGTTTTCTGAAATATTAGGGTGAATCTAAGGGTCAGAAGTAGTTCATATTTTCTAGTAATGACATACTTTAAAGTTCCTATCCAATTCACTATTAACTGCTGGATGGGGTCAGGGAGGGAGGGAGGCATTCCCATTTATTACATTAATATTTCTCTTAAATGGGGGAACCATTTGGGATCCCTGCTCCGAAAAGATTTATGTATGACCTCATTTGGGGTACAGTAAATTTTAATTCTATTAACATGGTAAATTGAAGCACACAGGACTATTTTTGGGGTCTCTGCTTAGAGATGATGATAGTATTGAAGTACTGCTTATAACATTGTAATAAGATTTATTTCATAATCAACACATGAAAACAGTTTTCAGCCTTGTATAAGACCTAGAGTGCTCTACATACACTAACTTGAATAGCAAATCAATCTTATAAACAATGGACTGTTCTGCTTCCAGAACTTTCATGAGACAAGTCCTCTCGCTAAGCAAGTGTAAAACCACTCCTTTTGGAAAGTGGACTCGGTTATCTTCTCACAGTGCTGGTCTAATTATGGTTTTAATCTCTTTTAGGATTTTTTTTATCTTTTCTCTAAGGTTCTAGCCTCTAACAATTACCTTTTCACCCACTGTTTTCATTCAGCAGTCACACTTCTCACCTGTAGTTCTGTTTATTGGCAGGTTTAGGAATATGTTTGGAAAGTATTTTGCAGACAAAAGCAGTCATCACTCCAAATCAACTGGAAACTGCATGGATTAAGTTAGCACAATAGAGAAATCAAGTCAATAAACCCACAGAAAGGCATGCTAACGTTAAATCAAATTCTGTTTCATATTGCCCATATTGCCACAGCTTCTGGTTGGCTCAGTGCTGGCCTGGCAGGCATTCCTGTCTGCCTGAAAAATTCAGGAGAACAGATTCATCTGCTGTTCAGTATCTGTAATCATCTCCAGAAGCTACTGG